AACCGTCGGAAAAACCAAGTTTTTAAATTTTAGAAACCCTATAACTCGGTAAAAAAAGGTCTAAAATAAAATTCCAAAAACATACCTCTGCGATAGCGTCTTGAGTAGTTCTGGTCAAAGTTTTAACTCGATCGAATGAGGTTTAAGGGGGTTGTAATGCGGTCGAATGGAATCTGGTGAACGACAATAGTGAAAAACTTGAAACAAAAACGAAAAAGTGCTCCATTGAGTTTCCAATCAGTTCTGAAAATATGAAGCCTTAGCGAGTTGTAGTTTCTGTTACACGGCATTTCTATGTGAAGCCCAAAAAGAGGGAAGTGGTACCTTTAACTTGAACAAATGAGTTCATCACGTTAAGCTTTCTGTGAAGATCAGAAACATGATCAATTGCATTAATATCATATATTTAATTGTGTGTATATGTCTGTCGACTTACCTTCTAATGTTGTATTATAATTTGCTCTTTAGTTCAAGCAAACGTTGATATATTAACGAACAACTTGCAGTCAATGTTTTCAAGTAACTCTAAATATTCTTGTTCGTTTGTCATCAATAAAATATTCCTTAAACGAATTGAAAAAACGGTTACAAGTCTCATATTGAATAAAACAATGGCAGAATTGGCAACAGATGAAATTCAAACTGGAATATTAGCACTTGTATCTAATTTAACTAAATGTAAACAATTAATGCGAAATATAGATGATGAATTAGCATTTAATTTAATTGCATATGGTGAAAAGTTTATATACAAATTAAATATTACGAATAAACCAACATATAAAGATAAATTATATGAATCAATGAAACATGTTTTATGGCCCATATTTTCTGATGCTAATAGTACAGTGCTTAATTTATTTGTTAAATATATTACAAGTGCGACTTGGATAAGATTCATCAATGAAACATTTGATACTGTATTTGCAACATTGTGGTCATTAATGGTTGAAGATTTATATTCACAAGGAAGTGGAAATGGCGGAAGAGGATCAGAAAAACCGCCAGAATATTGGGGAAATGTTTTGTGTGCTATTACACTATGTGGATTACAGGTCATATTAGTATTTTTATTGAATCAATATTGCATAACACATTCAATCAATTCAGATGCGCTTCAACTTGATTTACAAAATACAGTTATTTTATTTGCTTCTTACATCAACTATCAGACCGAGAATAATAATGAACTTGCTATCAAGACAAACGTTTGATAAGTATTGAAGGGCTATTTTCTTTTACAGTATTACACGTACTTTACATAAGCATGCTGTTTAAAACTTTCCTATATAATATCGTCCTGTCATTCAACACTCAGGCAATATTAGACACTATCTGTTCAACTTAACATAACTTTGCATCCATAGTTTGCCTTAAAGTTGTAAATGAATGGCAATTTTACCTATGGCCAACTGATTGAACTCATCGAATTAGGTGTACTTCCATATTTTGAAGTATCTTCATCTTCAAAGAATCTTCATCTATACTGCTATCCATTTAAAATTAAGATATGGCTCACCATTTTTCATATAGCTCATGAGCAAAGAGAGATCAGATACAATCGTGCATCATGATTGTTAGGACTTATCGTTATAATCTACCTCTATCATACCGCTGTTCGTTCAAATTTTAGCAAAAACTGGCTTCGCTCTGGTTTAAAATCACAAAATATGTAGATATTAAGCACGATTTTTACCAGAATTGAAACATATAATCAAGCTTTTGATAATATTTTTTGTGTTTATAATATGCTTTTCTGAAAACTATAAAGGGAAAAAACATTTTTTAACAGGTTCGTTTTTGAAAGTTGATATGTACTAGGTACGTTGAACGTATTCAGAGAAACTCTAGTTTAAAACTGATGTTAAACCTATATATAATAGACAAGTTACGGTGTATAGTGTTCAAATGTGTTTTTTGAATCAAAATGGCCTTCGGGATGATTTCAAACGAGCTTTTTTAACTCAATGAGAGAAGCGTGTGTTCAGACGCGCATCTTGTTTTTTGTATGAATGAAGGGTGCCTGTAGACTGCCCTGATTTTAAGACCCGTTCAAACACACGTACCGAATCGAATTAAAAAGAGAGTGTGCTCAGACGTACATATAATTAAGTTTAGAAATAGTTACATCTAAATGATTCTTTGAGAATACGAAATATCTTTAACGCGTTTAGACATACTCATTCAATACCGTTCGAGAAATAAAACACGGTTTTAGACTGACAGTAATTTCACTCAATATTTTAAATGAAGTTACATTAGAGTTTTCATCGCGATCAGAGAAAAACGCACTCATATCTGACGGTGCCGACGCTATACTGCTGTTTATATACGTTCCCAGGTCAAAGAATCCCATAACAGGATCCTATCTGGTCCCATTAAATCCTGTAGGATCCTACGCACTCTTAGTAGTATCCTATAGGAAACACATGTGTAACCTGGATATAGGAACTCAAAGGAATCCTACAATAGGATCCTGAAAGTTCCTATCGTTTCCTGGGACAGGATGTGATAGGATTCTGCAAGATCCTATATGATCCTCCATACGATTTGATAGGATCCTGTTAGGGATGCACCGATTAATAATCGATGTTGGGGCATTCAGGAAAACCGTTCCAACTTGGTTATACTAAATCTCTCAGAACTGCGGAATATCTCATTTTGTAGAGAAAGGTTGACTCTACAAAGGTAAAGTGTTAAAAGGGATTTAATGTTATATCTAGAAAAAATATGATTAATCAAAAATGCACAAAAGTCGCAAAAAAATAATCGATCTTCGATTTTTTTTTTGCGATTTTGCACATTTTTGAATATTTCAATTTTTGTATGTGCTACTCACTTTTTTAACTTAAGAGTAAGGAATTGCATCATAATATGAAAAGCCTCAAGAGCAATAAAAGAAATTTACAGCTCAAAACCGGTAGAATAAGTGAATGAAAGAGCACTTTCTAACCATCTAAAAATTACTCAAGTAATCGCACAAAAACTGTCGGTGTGAGTAGCACATACAAACTGCATTCTAAGCGCCTAAAAACCCTTTTCTAGGTCACAACACATTAATCCGTAATAATCCACTGCTGAGTACTCAGCTTTTCCAAATTAATTACTATTTGTGTAGTAAAAAGTACAACCTTCAGTAGCATGATTTTTCAACTTTCTAACCCCTAATTTTTTCATAGGGCTTATCCGTTAGGCCACAGGGCCACAGTACTTATATTGCAATTTCAGCAGAAAAATCATGTGAATATAGACAGGGTATCGAACGAAGTAACATAACCGAATGATGCCTAAAGTATAACATAATTAAACAGAACTGGAAATGATCTTTTAACTAAAAAGAGTTGATGGGTTTGCCAGGCATGGACGAGGATTTCAGCTATCGGCCAAAATTCAACAGTTTTCATGATGATATAATACTTGAATGGCACCAAAACTATCTTTTTAGATTCAGTTTTTCATGGAGAACAAGAATAAAATTGTGGTAAAACCAATAAACAATAATAAACTGAGATTTTCCCTTATTCTAGAAAATTAGACGTTCTTTTTAGAATTTTAAACATTTCAAGTTGTAGTTAAGAATCGATCTCTAGGGTAGTTTAGCCCATCAAAGGGCTGTTCTCACTAGAGCTTCATGGTCTCGTAGATGAAGTAAATTAAAGACAATTGTACTCAAATACATAGTGTATTCTTACTATATGTTTCTGTGCTTCATTGATGAATCCTGAAGACATTTAATATTACTTTCACTTGAAAATTGCATTAAATACTCTAAAATGTCTTTAGACTATTCGCGCAAAGTTTGAGGATTAACTATTGTATGATTCGAGAAATTCATTAAGAATGAGCACTCACTACTGAAATATACGTAAACTTATCTATTGTATCGATTATTCACCGCGTAATAACTGATTTCGTGAAATAAACGAAATTGTGGAATGTTTTACGAAAGTTATGGCGATTTTGTTACTTTGTATCATATCGTTTTGTGATTTTCTTTACTTTGATTTGTATTTGTAAAATGGTTTAAAAAGAATAATTTTGTTCCCTTTTCTGCATACAACTAAAACTAGTTTTGTTCCTTGGATTTCAGGTCTTTTGATGCTGGTTGCAAATATGAGACTGATTTTGTAAAAAATGTAAGTTTGATGGCAAAAACTGCAAAATACGAGTGCATTTCCTTGTGTTTTGCTTCCTCCAAATTATTATACACGTTGTGTCTCACGATAAGAAAAAAAAGCAAAATGAAGAAGAATTGGACGATCAAGGAGAATAATAAATGCGGCTTAGAGTAGAACGATAATAGAGCTATTTTTCTTATAAATGCCGATTTTATTATTCTTTTTCCTTGATTCATTTTATTATTCATTCGGCTTCTTTTGTCGTATCTTGACAAACATTATACAGTAGTCTTACTTGCGCTGGATTCATGTTTGTCAGTTTATAAGTGTGATCAAATTGAACTAGTAGAGGGATTATACAGACAGGAATGTCATTGCAGTGAGAAACACAACGATAATTGAGCAGAAATCATCAAATTTTTCTAATATCCAATGTGACTCTGATGACCCGAAGAGAAAACCGGAAAGTCATGATGGTCAAAAGGAGTTTACTCAACTGCTGAACATAAAAACTATGATTTTTCTTATGCTCAGCTGTGATATTAATAAAGGTGAAGTCCGCATAAGAACGGAAATCGGCCCACTAACAATAATCGCTCCAATCGGTCCATACCTCATCAAAATCACATCCAATTATGATATTCGATGATTTCGACCCTTCCGACCGCTTTTA